CTCTATAATTGTAACTATAGTTATCAATATTATTATAATTACTCCGTAAAATAATTACAATAGTAATAATAATAATAATATTAATAATTATAATCATAAATTATAATTATAAGTATAATTATAATTATTATAATTATAATTAATAATAATTATAATTATATTAACATTAATTATAATATTATAATATAATAATAGTAATATTAATACAATTAATATTATAATAATGATATTATTATATTCATATTATTATTACAATAATATAATAATAATATGATTATTATTATTACAATAATATAATAATAATATGATTATTATTATTATTATAATTAGTATTATATTATTATAATATTATATTATAATGATAATGATAATGATAATGATAATGATAATGATAATGATAATGATAATGATAATGATAATGATAATGATAATGATAATGATAATGATAATGATAATGATAATGATAATGATAATGATAATGATAATGATAATGATAATGATAATGATAATGATAATGATAATGATAATGATAATGATAATGATAATGATAATGATAATGATAATGATAATGATAATGATAATAATAATAATAATAATCATGTTTGAACTTTTCTGATCTGATCTGAATGTTTCTGATCTGATCTGAATGTTTCTGATCTGGTCTGATCTGATCTGAATCTTTCTGATCTGATCTGAATCTTTCTGATCTGATCTGATCTGATCTGAATCTTTCTGATCTGATCTGATCTGATCTGAATTTTTCTGATCTGATCTGATCTGATCTGAATAAAATAAGAATAAGCAATAAGTAATAAGAATAAGACGAACAGAACAGCACCTAAATTACGAAAAAGTACCTGCGTTGTATAAATAGTACTCCCTCGTCCCGAAAAGGTTTGCCAAATTTCCATTTTTAGATGTCCCAAAAAGATTTGTCATTTCCATTTAAAATAAGGAATATGTGGCTAAAGTTAATTCTCTCTCATCTACACAAATTTCAACCACACAATTTTTACTTTATTAATTCACGTGAAAGTCAAAGTTGACGAACTTTTTCGGGACGAAGGGAGTATACACAAAACTCCTCTAGTTGCATACACAGTCAATTCATTTGAAAAGAGACATGATTTGATGCCAAAATTCATTTGTGTATACAGATAATGTACAAATTTGTGTACACATTTTGTGTACATCAACAATTGCTCATATATTATTACTACCTCTGTCCTACCAAGTTTGGGATAATTCAGTTTATGATGCTTGACCAATGATAAGGTAAACAGATCCCTGTCCGCACTCAAATTATTTTTAGAAAATAAAAATTACATATTCAGTAACTATATTAAAAATTTTACAAAGTCGTAAAAAGGAGAATCTGATAAAAATTTGAAGGGAATAATATTTGAGATCATTAGGGGTTTGTTTGCAACAGCTTCTACTTTTAAAAAAGTGCTTTTTTTAATGAAATGGGGAGAAGTGATTAAATAAAAGTTGATAGTGTTTGAGAAAAAAGTGATTTTGAAAAGTAAAAGTGGGTAGTTTTTGGTAAAATAAGTGTTTTTTGTGTAATAGAAAAAGTAAAAGCACTTTTGACGCGGAAGCCGAGAAAAATAAAAGTTGTAGTGTTTGGGAAAATAAGTGCTTTTTTAAGCCAAAAGCTGAGAAGTGCTTTTTTAAAAGCAGTTGCAAACCAACCCTAGGAATATTGGAATGGGGAATTTATTCGTATAAGACCTAAACACACCAACTTTCCAAAATTCGGACCAAGGGTAAGCGTAGTACTAAACTACACTTGCTTTGACCATAATACCCTTAATTTTTATTACGCAACAGACCACCGTTCCATCTGGATCGAATATCCTCTCAAATTGAATAGCCATAGCCTTCGATGGAAAAGTTTGCAGAAAATGCAACCGGAAAAACCGATTGGGAAGTAGGCGACCACAGAAGAATAGCAAGGAAACTCCGTCGGAGAACATTTAGACAGTAAGAGAACATTCGGCAAGGAGAAAGAAAAGACCAGAGGAGACATATGGTGAATACGAAAAAGGGAAAACACTCTGAAAATGATTTCAGAACAAAGAGACCTAATAAAATGGAGAAAGGAAAGGATATTGTGCTTTCAACTACTCAGGTAATCTATTCGACTTCATTAGTGAAAAGTAAATACGGAGTATAATTTTTTTCAATTCAGTTTTTTCAGGTTTATTCTCTGTAAATGAAGAGCAATATAATGAAATCAACTCAAATCAAGTGATGGACCACAGATTCGTAAGATTAATCTATATATATATATATATAAAAGCTCAATCGTGAGAATACTCAGCACAATCTCGCCATTGAAAGAATACACGTGTTAACAGATGCTTAAGTACAGTTTTCCTCAAAACATACACCTCCGATCCGTTCATCCGGAATATTATCAGGTGCAAGCACGTGGCAATCCACAATGCTTTCATGTATCAAGGCGGAACACCCCCTAACCCCTTTACAATATCAAGGCGGCGTACCTTCCCGTTGTCGTCGTGTCTCCCGGCGAAATAACGACATCAGATCCATTGGAACACAGCAGGCTGCCGAGCTTATTGTATAAAGCCGTGAGTGGAAAGGTCAGCAGGCTGCCGAGCTTATCTGTGTTTGGATGGGCTGTTTAACATATGGTTTGATGCGTGTGGTAGGCTGTGAAGAGTGAGTAGTTGGTGATGCATGCGCTGCAAATTGCAATTAACATATTATACCAAAGAAGATGAGGATGATTATTAATTATTATGGCTACTCACAACTACATTATTACTGTATATATAAAGATATGCGGCGGCTCTTCTCATTACTTACTTCCTTTTTTATTTTTCAATTCTACTGTTTACTATCACTCAAAACTACTTACTACCTCCGTTCTTAAATAAATATAACACTTTGACTTTTACACTATTCACATGTTCAACTTTGACTACGTTTTATTTATTAATGTAACAATATTTTTTATGAAAAAAATATTGTTAAAATTGTCTCATTGTAAACTTTTATAATCTAATTTTTTTAATTTTTTTACTAATACAAAATCATATATATTAGCGGTCAAAGTTGTGTCTCGGTAAGTGTAAAATGTTGACCGTTGCATTTATTTAAGAACAGAAGAGGTACTATATAGATAAAAGAGATGTATAATGAGAAATGGAGAACAAATAGTAAACATATGAAGCGAACTAGCGAAGTATAAGGCCGGCATTGGGTACTGGGGAGGTAGGATATGATGCTGTCATCATGTCAATTTCCTCAATGAAAACCAAGTTGAAATGTATTCCGTATATTGTTTGGCTACTATACACACAAGTAAATAGGTATACATATAAAGAAACTTTGACTGTATAATTTTTTCTAACAAGCTGCTCTATTTTTTAAAGTGACAACTTTAAAAAATGAGGTACCGTACCTACCATTTATTTGATTGGACCACATCACTTTATCATTTTTAATTTAGATTTAAATAATTCAACTGCTACATTCTCATTAATACAAAGATATGGTAACTTTTGGGTACCATAGAATCTACCATTTTTAAAACGTAATTAAGTGTCAATGGTTTGGTTCTTTCTTGTGGAACAATTATTATGAGTTCACGATATACTCCGTATTAAAAATTTTATTTTCTCTTATTAAATTTGACTTTCCTATACAATAAATAGATATAGGTCAGATTCCTCCCTTTAAGGTTCTCACTTTCCCATTTTGAACGTATCACATAAATATTCTCATTTCAATTCTAAAAAATAATTAACATTATTAAATAATAATTTATTGATCAAATACTCTAATTAACGTTACGAGTATTAATATTTTAATATTTCCATTTTAAATGACCCCACAATATTACATATCCATCAAAAACATTTCTCACAACATACTCAAATTACCTTATTTGATTATTGTTTACACAATCGTGCAATTTTTATGATGTGAACTTCAAACCGGGACAGAAGTAGTATAATATTATCATTTCAAAAATAACATACATAAAATATAAAAATAATGTGTCCCGTGCATCGCACGGGTGCAATACTAGTATTGATTTGTAATGAAGCCTCCCCACGAGTAGTTAAGCTCTTGTACGTTCGACAACGGAGAGCAAAAGTATTTCATGAAACATCCCTTGTTTGATCTCAGCCTGTATGGGCTGGTGACAGGCGGCGGCGTAGCGGGTTGAACTCCCTTGCCAAATCGACTTCACCAGATCCATCGATTTCTCATTCAAGCTGCTCTGGTTGACTTCATCGAACGCCACCGCCCGAGGTTTCTTCTTCCTCCTCTTCTTCCTCCTCCTCCTCCTCATCGTCATCTTCTTCTTCTTCTTCTTCTTCTTCTTTTCTGATTTTGAACATTGATTTTGCTAATTTCGAACTCCTATTTCATATTTTCACATCAGGTACTCTGCAAAACTTTTGAAGAAACCAAATCTAAAATCAAAATTGCAAACACTAGACAGTACATAGACATTAAGTAGTCAGTAAACAGACAATAAGTTCTAATAATAGTTTAGTAGCAGACAATATATAGACAATAAGTAGTCATTAAACAGAAAATAAGTTCTGATAAGTTCAATAGAATACTAGGTCACGTAAAACAATAGCTGAGTAATGGACCTGTGAAGCTTTGTTCTATGCAAGACGTTACCCATATTGACATCAAACATATTCCAAAGGCAATCTTGCAAAGTGTCAGGTTTAAATTTAACCATGGCTTCCCCGTCTTGGAGTTTGCTCCAATACCCGTCAAATAGAACCTGGTAACCCGGAACGATACTATTCAAGAGCGAAGCCTTTACGCGTCACGTAATTCTGGATCGGGTATGACCCACGAATCCTGCTTCTGGAGCGCCTCCTCCAACCCAGAATTGAGGTCATCTGGAGTTTAGCGCATCTGGAGTTAGGTCAGTATTAAAAGGCAAGGGTAATTTAGGTTACTTATAATTATGTTTCTTAAAATAGGAGTATTACAGTTATACGAAAGTAAATTTTCATAGGAGGTCTTATTTGTGCCAAATAGCTATGGAATTGTGGATAGGCTTACTCCCTGGGCTCCATCTCACCCCTACCCGATAACACTCCACTCCGAACTCCGTCGCCTTCCTCTTCTCCTCCGTACAACGACGTATTACCGCCGAGTCGGAAGCCCTCACCTCGTATCCGCGCAACATACGACACTTTAACTTTCCTTCTCCCTCAGAGGTGTACCGTATTCGTGATTCTCCTCAGGTTTGGCGTTTCTTGGTTGATAGACTAGTCCTTTATTATTAATTCTCACTGTAAAATGAAAAATTGTGCTTTTAAACTCGAATTTTAGTTGAACGAGTGGGGAAAAACCTAGTGCTTGAGCTTCACGCAAACTTTTCTTCATCTGAAATGCTCCGCAGTAGTTTGCAGAAGGCATAGAATGCTTTTCCGCTTGATCTGTTACAAATTTATGCTGATATTGTATTGTGCGTGCATAAGGCGTTAAATACTTGAATTTCATTTCACAAAAAACAATCTATACCCCCTCGTTTTTGTTAGATGGACGATTTTGGTTCGTGTTGTCAAGAAACACAAATATAATGGTCTTCTCTAAAAAAACAAATATAATTGTCAAGTCATGTTCTGTGTTGATGTTTGAGCTTATTTAGTATTAGAGCTGATGGTAATTGAGACGTTGTAGCTAATAGATACTTTCAGACTGAAACTTTGTGTGAATGAAATGATTATTGTATTAAACAAGTTAAAAAATTAAAGGATGTTCTGTAGAATGGAAAAATGACATAGATTCCACCGGAGGGGAATTCCACAAAGCTTCCATTGATTTAATGGATCCCTCCCTAACCTTCCAGTTATCATTTACTTCAAAAATAAAATTTAGGGAGTTTTTGTTCAATGTGTAAAATTCAGTTTCAATCAGATCAAGGCAGTTTGACCACATCAGGATAATGTCCCGATAATCTAATGTGATATCAGGCTGAGTAGAAAAATATTGCAAGTAGAGAACTGTTGATGTAAGGGCTCTTTGTTTGAGATTGATGGTGTCTAGGTAAGCTTTTCTTTAATTGCACGTGGATTGAGACATGGTGATTACATTGAGATAATTAATTTAGGGGGTTACTTGACTTAACAGTTAAACTTTTGAGTGAAATTAGACTTTACACCTAATTTTCAAAAAAATTAATGTGTTCACTCAATTATATGAAAAAAAAATTTAATGTTCGCACTTCATTCCTTCGCAAAGTTTACAACTGATAGAGTGCATACATGTTCCTTCCTAAAAATGGGGTGCAAAGTCAAATTCTCCCTTAATTTATACGTGATTCTCATTTTTACCCTTTCGTGAAAATGTGAAGTTAACCAATGAAATACTCATATCTTGAAATTATAGAAATGAATTGCTTAATAGAAGCTAGACTTAGAAATAGAGAACAAAAATACACTTCCAAAGAAACTGGACCATCCTTTTGGATGTACTTTGTAATGGAAACCTGTCTTTGCGGGACAGAGGGAGTAATGACCACTCAGTCACTCTCCATCTGTCCCATTTTAAGTCCCACTCTCCTTTTAGTTTGTCACACATGTGTGTCCACTTTTCGATTTCGGGCTCCACTCACATTCTACCTTTTCCAACTTACCGTTTTTTATTTGAAATGTTACCCTATAACTAAGTGGTTATGATTCCCTCCTAATTTTCATCAACTTGTAACCATCAAGTTGAGATTCAGATGGCTTCCTCTCCTTTGCCCTCGACGTTGGTTGAGTAACTATAGTCAACCATATTAGGCTCAAGGCAGGATAGAGAAAAAAGAGAATATGGGTAAAAAACCTTGAAATAAGGATAAATGATCTTATCCTCTCTTCGTAATTGAAATAATTTTCACAATTGAACATTTTTAAAGATACTACGTATTATTTTGTTTGCTAAAGAGAGTTATATTTGGTATTGCATATTTGGAACCTCCTACGCAAGATCATTGCTTTGTTTGCTACAGGACTAACAAACTGCAATCATATTTTTCAATCCTCTGTATATTTGAAACTCTTTATTGAAAAGTGTTGGTAATTGAGAGTGAATTTTGACAGGTCTAGTTATATAGCAATGAATATTTGGTTTCTGGATAATGTCCCGTGGTTTAAATCTTTCTCTAAGAAGGATATGGCTTCAACCACAATGTCCAGTACCATGCGAATACAGACTCCTAGACAAACTGTTCATATTGATATCAAGTTTTGGGAATGGCCTATATTTTCATTTATTCCTTGGGCAATTTCTGCCAGGAATAAGATTCAGATACCATCCACTGTCAACCAAAAGCTAAAACGTGGCCCACGAGCTCGTGGAAGAAGTGAACTTGTTTCTCAAAATTATATACGCTTCAGACCATATGTCTCCAAGGTTCCATGGCATACTGGTGCAAGAGGTTTTTTGTCACAACTGTTTCCACGATATGGGCATTATTGTGGTCCCAATTGGTCAAGCGGGAAAGATGGTGGATCTCTGATCTGGGATAGAAGACCGATTGATTGGCTGGACTTTTGTTGCTATTGCCATGACATTGGTTATGACACTCATGACCAAGCTGAGCTTCTCAAGGCAGACCTTGCATTTCTCGAGTGCTTGGAGAAGCCTCACATGAGTACCAAGGGAGATCCTCATGTTGCTCTTCTTTACAAAACAATGTGTGTTTCAGGTTAGTAATAAACAAATGTCTCGTTGGCGCGCATTGGAGCCTAAAATGTCTGTTTTGTTAAGACTAAAATGGGGGGAGCGATATAATTTGCTAACATTCTGATTTAAATTTCTTAATTGGCTGACCTTCTGAGTTAACTAAAAAATGGCGATTTTTTAGATAAACTAAAATTATATTTTAAAATGAAGGTAGAGAGTTGTCCTTTTTTTGTTTAAATCGTTTAAACCAAAAAGTACCTTCATTGCTACTTTTATATGTTCTGAGCTTATTGTACCAACCCTTCAACCAACATAATTAAATAAATTACTCTTCAGTGAAAATATTGTGCAAAAAGCCGAAAAAGGTATACACATACCTTAATTTATCGTGCTCTCAATGTTTTAAATGCAGGTCTGAGGAACATATTGATTCCTTACCGGCAACAACTCGTGAAGTTACAATCATGGCAGTTGCCTCTTCAGTTTGGATGGTTAAGCAATGTTAAATTTAAATGGCCAAAGCTACATGCATGACACTTGAAGAGAGAGTATATATCTCGTGTCCCAAATAAGCAATTAAAAACTCAGCAATATAAATAATGCTATTCTTTAGTCAGAAGCTATTGGCATTGTAAATAATGGAGTAATATCTGTGAAGGTGCTATAGCTAAAGACGAAATTATTAATGTTACAAAGGTTGCTTGATTTCCGATCTTTATGTTGTGTGCAATAATGTGTATTGACTATTGTGCATACTTAACATATCATAATTCATAATTTGTGTATACTAAAGATCACGTTTGTAATAATGAGGGAAATGACTATACTGGGGGGAGGGGAATATAGAGGGAAAAGACTACTATGGTCTATGGGAATTTATATTGTATTGCTTGAAAACATTTTAGATATGTTAGATATGATGTTTTTATTATTTCAATGATTTTTTTTTATCTGCTATTGATTTTGTTAGATTTCTTGAGAGATGAGAATATAAGAATATTTGTTTGGACATTTATATAAAAACATTTCCCTGCATTTTCTTTGGGTGGGTGTTACAAAGAGTGGCAGTTGCTTGGAGTTACAATAGCACGGTGGCGGCAATGGTGCTATATACGGTGGTGTGCTTATGATGGTGGTGAGTAGGTGACGGATTTACGGTGGTTGCACTTGTGACTTGTGAGCAGAAGTGGAGATGGGCCGGTTCGGGTATGATAACAAGTTAACAACGCCCTTGTGATGGTGTTAGACGGGGTGGGTAGCTGTAATGGATGCTAAGATGGTGAATGTAGTTGCGGCTGGTGGGTGTTGTTAATTGTGGTGGTGACCGGTGATGATAATTGTATAAGACAATGTCGACTTTGTTGTTAATTAATGGTAGGAAGTGGTAGTAGAGGTGGATTATTTTACCACTACCCTCTTGGCCTCCTGTTTCTTCAAATTAGAGTTTGCGGGGTGTCTGATCCCCCTTTTTGTATTTCTTGAACGGTTAGGGACGAAGAGCCATCCTCTGTCTTGACGGACGATGGTTGCGCTCTCAATCGGGCAAGAGGATTCATCCTCCCTTGCTATTGTAGACACCATAGTGAATGACTGAACTTGTGCAATGCATGAATGCATTAAGGGGGAATGTTATGCAGTGAATCAAAATCAATAAATAGTGTCCCAATATTATGAAAATTGCAATTATTATGATCGAAAGTGCAGTGCAGTAATGTAGAATTGTAGACCAATAACATTAGCACAAAATGTGGTAATGTATTTAATTGAATGCCAAATACTAGAGTTATCAAATCTAAAAAGAAATGAAAATAAGAAATATAAATTTCTAACGTGAGCGAGAAGAGAAGTAATGTTAGTGGAAGTGTAGTGATTTTATTAGATGTGTGGTAAAGTCGAGCACTAACGCCAAAATGAAGTGTAATATATTTAATTCGACGGAAGCAATGCAAATGCACTTTTTAATAGTGTTATTTTCGTCCTTCAATATTTTAATATGACGATTTTTTTTTGCTTTGCAATCATACAAATGATTAAAAACAAACACAAGTCATATTTAGGAAAACTAAATATGGTTGAGTCGTTTCTCAAGAATTTTCTTCCTCTTCTTTTGGCATATTCTTTATGTGGAAAAACACATTTACTACTACTAGAATATGTATAGTTGACATTAGCAAAATTTGGCTTCACTCAAAGGTAGAATATTGGAGATACTTACAGTCTATAGCTAGACTTCCTTTAACATGGATTAAACCCGAGTCTCTATTCTCAAATCATTATTCTTTTAGAACACTTCACAATAGGAATTTTCTTAGGGCAGTGGTAAGTTATATCATATCTTTAGAAAGTGAAGACTCAGTGTTACTGACTACTGTGTTAGTATTAGTGAAGAAATAATAAGATTTTTGAAAGTAAAAAGAAAAAGATTGGACGAGTCGTAGGAGCAAGGCCGTTTTTTAGGGGGTTCAATAGGTTATCCAGAACAGGGCCCCAAATTTTTAAAATTTTATTAATATTATATAATAATATAGTAATATTATATACTAATACTAATCACTAAAATATAGTTACCTAGTAAGGAAGAAAAATATAGATCTTTAAAACATTAGATTGGGTATATAAGTATTTAGATTGAGGGGGTTTTAAAACTTTTTATATTAATGTGGGGCCCCGTTTTTAGATTTTGAACCGGGGCCTCCAAATTTATTAGACGGCCCTGCGTAGGAGAAACGCAAGCAGGAATGGGGAAGAAGGGAAAGAAAAAGGGAAAAATGGGAGAAGCAGCAGTAGCATAAAGCCCAGAGATTGTGGAAGAAAAGAAAACGATAGTATAAAAGAAAAGAAAAATGCTAGAGGTACACGTTTTGTGTACACGTTTGGTGTACACTTGTCTGTCCAATTGTCTGTCACAGACAAATTGTCTGTCACAGACAAATTGTCTGTGAAGGACAGACAAGTGTACAAAAAACGTGTACCTCTAGCATTGGAAAATACTACGTATGTTTTCCCACTAACTGACAGAAGTAAGAAGATTCTAGATTTGGAAAAGAAAACTTGAGTGAATTTCTTCTCTGACGATGGTTGGCGTCTTGGCGATTCAATTTAGTTGCTTTGTTAATTAAGAATAAGATACTCCGTAATTATCGTTAAATGTGGGTTCAAGTTTTAAGATGAATTAAATACTCATTTTTTTTATTAAATACTCATTTTATCAGTATAATTAAATACATTCATATTATCATGAATGAATAGTCACATAGTCCACCATAATTCTTCATCATATTAATCTTTGTATTTGAGACGATAAAGTTTAATCATTTAGAGTCCGTTTGATGAGATTGAAATGAATTGAATCGACTGAATCTAATGAAATTGATAAAGATCTACCTGGAGTGAAACATCCGTGCAGGAGTAAAACATAAAAAAAGTGCAAAACTATGAGTTTGAATCATCTGTGAAGTTTAATAGGAGTAAAAAGGAATGAAGTGACAAAAGTATACTTAATGAATACTTTAATTTATTTATTAAATATATAACATAAAATAATAAATTAAATGGATTACACATATTTTCCCCCTCAATCCCACAACCACAAGTTGTCGTCGGCACTCGACACTACCCAGGGGCCACCGCCAGTCACCGTTGGCTGCTGCCAGAAGCCTCCACTAGTCGCCTTCGGACGCCGCCACCTTAGCTCTCGCTGCCACCACAATCTCCATCTCTAATCTCCATCTCTATCGCTGCTTCTGCTGGCGTCGCAGCTACCAGGTGTCTCCGCCGCTGGTCGTCGCCATTGCTGTTAGTCATCGACACCACCATCTACATCACTGTCGCCCCCGCTGCCTCCGTCGTCGCTGGATCTCGTTCCACTGCTTCCTCGGTTGGCATCACACCTTTTGACAGAAAGTGATATGATATTAATGATTTTCCAACCCATTACATCTACCGTCAAAGGGGTATTTATAGGAGAAACATGGGCTGATCTTCCGATCTTGGGCCTCGTAGGCCCAATCACTATAATGTGGTTAATACATGAAGTAAGCTATACTGATAAGTATACAATAATGTGTGTGTGTGGGGGGGGGGGGGGAGATAAAAATAAAAGTATACAATAATGTGAATGTTATCGGATAGATATTTCTGGCCGAGGTGCACAGGCTGGGGTGCCTTTGAGGACAAGAGATTTTAGTCTTTGTATCCTGATTTCATGGTTTTCTGGAGACTTTTGTGTCGATGGGCCTTGTCTGGCTGAGGGGCTCATCCGAGGTGAATAATCGAGTGGCTACAAGGCACATTGTATATCCATGAGTACGTGGCCTGTGGGCTCAAGCTCATATACTCTATCAAGAGTTCCCCACTCTCTAAGCCGAGAGACGTCAAGGTCAGAGGGACTGGAGCATTTTGTGTGTTTTTAGTTTGTTTGTTGACTATGTTTCCGGCTTTGGCCAATGCGTATGCTCTTGAAGCCGAGATGCACTGATCATTCATTTGTAAGTAGATTTTGCAATTTTCTGTTTGTCGGATATGAAGTCCACTGATAAGTCCGTATTTAGACACGCATTTGATGCATGTTGGGATTGGATTTTGATGGTTTTCCTAGCTTTAAGGTGTTGCAAGTCTCAATTTTAGCTCAAGTTATGTTTACCAGGCGTTGGTTCGAGTTTTGTGTCATTTGAAGTCAAAATCAGGATTTTGGAGTTCGGCATTGGCGCTTGAGGAGAAATCGGGTTGAGTTGAGAAGCATTTGAGATTAATTTGAGAGCTATGGAGGTCAGCGGGAGGTTTACAATAAAGATTTGATGACAAAAGAGCTCTAGGATTAGCTTCGGGATCAAAAGAAGATGAATGAAGCTTGAAAACGACGATCAGGATGACCTTCTGTCAATCGTTCAAGCATATCTCTTTGTAGAATCATCCAAAGGACACGATTCAAGTTTCATATGAAAGCTAACGTCAATGACCTTTGCGAGAATCTGAGAGAAAGAAGGTGAAAACAGACGATGAAGTCAGATGATCACTGCTGCGATTTCAGAATGACACCTTCCACCGTTTTGATCATATCTCTTGATTGGATGATTCAAATCACATTTGGCAAGTTGGGGTAGATAGAGAGGACTTCATTATCTACAACTTTCATGAAGGACGTTTTGTCAAATTCGGAAGTTTGACGCATACCGTGTGTAGGGGAACGCACGATCGTGCGTTTGAGGTGAGAAAGCAAGAGAGCCACTGCCACGTATGCACGATCGTGCGTACCCCCGAAACTCGGATTTCAGTCCCTTTTTAGTCCCAGTTCAGCCCAAACTCATCTGTTTTCTATAAATAAGGCATCCCTTCTCCTATTTAAGTGTTACGAACATTACGGAGAGGTCTAGGGACGAATTTAACATCGTTTTTACGCTATTTTCTTCCAAGAACCTGGGATTCTTTGTAAGTTCATCTTTTTAGTTAATGACAATTAATTCTATTCTTCCCAATTCTGTTGATTCTTCAATTATGAATTGTGAGTAGTTTAATTAGCGATTTGGGGTTGATGAAGGGGTTAATCATGATTGATGGCTAGATTCTTGTCGGTTTAATTGCATGAATGCCGTTTAATTTGTGTTTGAAGAATTTAATTGATATCTTTTGTAACCTAGAAGGCGCGCTAGAATTACAATTGCTTGTAGAATAAGTTAAGAGAGATCTAATTTATTCTAGGACACCTTCACACACACTTAATCATTCGCTAAGAGATTAGTAGCGATTAAGGGGTCGTAAGCTCGCTCGTCTTGGCAATAATTTAGGATCCTGTCGCATGAGAGATCAGTCTGGTCCCCTAAATTGTTGTACTCTACGCCGCGAGAGCGGTAAGAACTTAGTAATGATTAGCTAGGCTCAATTAAATCAATTTCATGTAGTTAGGCCTGTTCTGCCAGAAATCTGGTTACCCCGGAATCA